TTGAAGAGATGTTTCCTGACAGTCCTGGCGGCCAGTCTGAAATTCTTTTAGCTAGAAGCATCTGCCGGAAAGCCAGTGCCGTTAGCGACAAAAATCTGTGGGGAGCTGTGCAAAAAACGCATCTTCGCACGGGCAGCCCGTGCGTTGGCCATTTTTTTTTTTATAACAAACAGAATGGCAAACATTTTGATAGCGCGCAGTTGCTTGAGTACGAGAATTTTTCGCTTTTAATAACTCGCGTAAAGTCTCTTCATTTTCAGGAATGCAATTTGACAAAGCCTTTGATCTTTGCGTGAAAACATTTGCGTACACGAACCACACACTGTTGCCAGAAGCCCTCGAACGATGGCCAGTTTCTCTGCTTGAGAATTTGCTACCACGACATCTTGAAATCATCTATCAAATCAATCAAGTGTTCATGGATGTGAGTTAAAAGGAAAACTGTTCGTGGTGACCTGAGATAAATCTCATACTTGATATGTCCTAGAATTTATTCTCGTTTTTTGTCGTTTTTTCCCCTCTCTCACAGAACCGATTTCCGAAAAACCTGTGAGGAAAGAGCTTCAAATTTTTTTTTCTGTTTTGGGCATCCTCAGAAGGCAGGTTTTCTATGCATAATGACCAGCAAACAATTTTGCAGTACTCATGCGTAGTTTGGCATAGCGTAGTTTTGCAGTCCATAAGCTCGTTTTAGCAATTTTGGCAGCCTTATGGGTGTCATGCGTGACAGCTGTCTGAGAACTCTTGCATTTTGTTAAACTAATATCTTAAATTTCTTAAATGTTTTCAAGTGCAGCAGCCGTAGATGCAAGAGAGCATCGAAGTTGACTCGCCTGGAAATGATTTGTCTCGCATGTCTATTTTTCAAATTTTCATGCAAATGTCGATGTTTTGCAAACTTAATAGTATATCCACCATAGTTTTTTAAGATTATTTCCAGTGCATTTTCAAGGGAATTTTTCAGAATAGCACTTTTGCAGTAGAAGGTGAAGCAAGCTGATAAAGGAGGGATGAGTGCTTTTAGCGGAAGGCAGCCTGCGCTAGCTGGAATGAGAAAACATTTGCGATTTGACCATTCTTTGTTGGATAAAATTCAGTCGCAAATTTGACAAATCCCCATATGCGAAGCTTTCATTTTTATGCGTTTTTGCTGTGCAGCGCTATAGCGCTGCTACAGCCAGCAAAAACGCATAT